TTGTACGTAATTGATAACTTAATTTGTTCGTCAGAAATGCCTAATTGGTTGCAATGTTTATTTCGTCCGGTCAGTCTTCGATCGTACGTTCGAATAGCCGATGATTCGACGCACAATTTACGATCCATTCGACTAAATTTGGAATTCGGGCAAAAGCATCGGTTACGGCGCATAAACATATCGCTCGTCTTATCCGTATCTAATCGCTGTCCTTTTATTCAAACTATGGACTTGCGAGATTGTATCTAATTTCTAAAATTAACCGGCTACGAATAATTTAATACGACGTACATGCCGCCGGTTGTCGATGTGAATCAAGGGATTAATTGGTTCTTCAGAGAACACGGTTGGAACACGAACGGGACAAAAATCGACCGGCAAACAGGTGTGACTGGATATCGTCGGTTTAATCTCGAGTAGCGAGCGAGTCACCGGTCTCGACGAGTTTGACACCGCGTTGTTCGAGCTGGAAAGAGGACGAACGAGATTCTTACATGTCCGTCCGATTCTCCAGTGAACGCGGAAACCACACTCGGCTGACACCGCTCTCAGTCGGAATTCAAATGGAATTAAACGCACTTTTCCCAGCCGTGTGGCACGTTTACACGCAGACAGGTAAAGCGGACCGTCGCGAAAAGGTCGCGCAGCGGCACGCCGCCATTTAATTACGCCTTGAAAAGGTTGGTAGACAGACAGGTCGGCAGGTCTGTAGGTTGATACAGCGGTAAAGGCCGAAATGTATACTTACTTCCGTCCTTGCGGACTTTCCAGGCTCCGTATCTCCTGGCTGCTACTGCTTCGCCCAGTGCAAACATGGATATGAAAGGTTAAGCTTTTGCCCCTTTGGCAAAAAAGCCTTCCAGGACCTCCGCCCTCTCGGATGTCTTTCCGTCTGACTGCGATTCCGAATGGCTGCGATAAAATTTGCTCTTCTCTCGTGACGTCGAGAGAGAGAGAGAGATTACAGTTATCCTGCGAAACCACACCGCCATCATGCAAATTGAAACTGTTCTCCCTTTTCATCGTTTTTTCCTTCTCTCTTTCCATGCCGTCTTCTATCTTTCTACCTCGAATCTCTTCGTAAATATGTAAATACCTTTAGCAACCTCGTGATTTTCTCTCCTCCTAGTCCAGGGACCTCTTTGTGCATTATCGTTTGTTTATTGTGACGCGTGCAAAAATTGCAATTAATCTGAAACTCGAGTGTCAGATACCTCTCGTGCCCCTTTCGTAGCCGTTTCTCTGTAAGATCTGTTTAACTTTCCAAGTTGGGTCGAAATAATTTTCTTGCGCGTGCCACGTACGGATAATCGATAAGGTGAAATACCATGAGTGTATCCATGATCAAGGTGAACATGTTTGATCGAGATGATATCTCCGCTCGATATCATAACTTGACGGAGAAGCGGGAATAGTAGATGTAGATTAGGAACGGTACGAATTTTAATTAGGATACAATTGTCCGTTATCTTTCAAAGGCCATCAATGACGTAATATTTCCCTCTTAAGATTTCGAACTTATTAAACAAGCATTTCGTTGGTTGTTATGATCTTAGCTCGGTCAAAGGATAGATATCATAAAGTGCGACTGTTATCAATTCAAATATAAAAAAATCATCATCGATTTCGCGTGTACAGATTCTAAGGAAGTACTCCAGTATCTTGGAACGACAATCCACTTCTTCATAATGCTTCAGCGAGCAACGACAGAAAATTATATCGATATAAACTCTCGAGAAGCCTATCTGTCGAGTACACACATCAATTTTTGTCCGCCCCAATACGCGCACATTTGTATTCGAACTCCTTTACCCGCACTCCAGTTCATCTTTGCGCTCATACACGTGTCCCGAGGAATTCAATAAGAAATATGATTTCAAAGCACGCCGGGCGGAAGATATTCGACAATTATGCTGGCCCATTTCTCGCAGACCTCGCATTATGGGATTATCATTACGCGTGTCAAATATCTATTATGGCGTCCGAAGAATATCGGTTAAGACGATTACGTTCTTTTCTACCTGTGCTCCCTATTTCTTTGTTACGCTTTTTCGACGTAACTATATTATTTTCATTCCATTTGCAGCTTGCAAAAAAGTGGAAATGTAGACCCAGACATAAATTCTAATTACAACAATGTTTGAAAGTTAGAAATAAAAATCAAGAAAAATATAATTATCTTGGATAGAGATCATGATTGTAATGAATCTAAGTAAGTATGTTCAGGTATAAGTTATCCGAAAGAAAGGTAAAATTGTGGAATCAAAATGGTTCGAGGAGATGCTGACATCTAGGAGCTGAGAAGGGTAGGTTGCGTTCTCGAAATAGGGGTGGGATTCTGTCGATAAGTTAGGGTACGTTTGCACCCCTATTCCAAGCTTAGTAACGAACGGTAAAATTCTAGGATGGTAAACTCGTAGATTTTATCATTGATGTTAACGGAGAAAAGAACGGAAACTAATCGACGATAGGTATTTACGTGTAGTAATTCCTGCATACTCTATCGAGTAAATTTACCTTGTCTCGATAAAGGAAGATTTCTACTTCGATCAAATTTTCCACGGACACGGAAGTATCCTTTATTGTGTACTCTGAGGGTTGAAAATCGAGAAAACTCTTCCGGCAAAAAGGAGAAACGGCTAACTCGATAAAATCATTCACGCATCATCGTAAAACAGCCATCGAACTTGCTTCCGTGGCGCTTTTCCAACGAGAAATATTCCGACAAATTCATAGGAGCTGCCGGTCGTATATCAGACCGGGAACTGTTATGAGGGATTCCCTAGCTACTACCTTCATTTCCAAAGCGAAACGAACGGCACCAACGCGGAAAAAAAGACAGTTGGAAATAACTGTCCGGTAAAAATGGAAGTCGGGGAATACAAATGCGACAACATCTCGAAAATATCAACGTCAAAGTTGCGTGTGTTCACGATGGTATCTTAAAAACTTTATCCTCGGATAAAAATAAATCCCTTCGTGTGGATATTAATTATGAATTTCCGCTTTTAATTAAGAGTTCGTTAAGCAAGTAGTAATTAAAATTGATAAACCTCGATCGACAACGACTTTACTAATTAGTTCCACTTTTTCTTCCTGTTTCTTCCGCATTCGCCATCTCCATTCGTGTCATCGAAAAGATAAAACAAATCCACGAGAAAATAGAGAAATAAAGATAACGCGACGATTTCAATCGTGCGATATACTTAATTACGGCGAAGAATGGAGAGCATTATCTCTACGTGAGCCGATACATGTATGATTAGAAAAATAATCGCGTTGTCAACAAATCAATCGGCGATAGACACTTATCGAATTCGATTCGCGTACCGGCTCTGTTGCTCGAAGATGCATAATCGGATCGATAGTTGCGCAACGAGATTTTTAATTAGTCGCTCACGATAATGGACGAATTAGGATGAATAGCGTATCGTACTCTTGCAAGCAAAACAACTTGATTAACCGCAATGGAAACCGTGGCCTCTATTCGCAAAGCACCATCAATTCTGAGTGCTGGTAAATCATGAAAAGCTACTTTCTGCGCTTTCTTCGCTATAATGAAACGAATGTATACATTACCGTCCGAAAGTATTTCGTTATCTGTTTATAAAGATATGAAAACAAATTCTTGAAACGTCTGGTTTTCTTATTTTCCGCTGGGTTTTTGCGCTCGCATAAAAGCCGCTGCGAATAGAAGGGAAATTTAAAAATTTGACGATTTCAAGGTGTGTCATTTTTCTTGATGCGTATTTGCAAGACACCGTCATAAATATTAGCTGATGCGATTTATGTCATGAAACGTTATTTCGGGTAAAACGGTCTGGTACTTTTGACCGGTGATGTGTTTGCTTTTCGTCAGAGGTTGCTGAATAAGCAAAACAACGTGACAGAATGGCGAAATCGAGTGGTTAAACATTGTTGCAAAGAGGAGCGGATATTATACGCAGACGATATTATATTTGAATCATTGAGAAAACGCGGAATGTGGATAAATAGCGCCGATTGCGGTATTCAATTTTATACGAGAGATCGTAACAATGAGAAATAACCTTTCAACATGTTCGACGGAACGCAGACGTAATAATACGACTGAAAATGTCTGTTTAGATAGAAAAACGCGACACGCTTTTCGCGAATCGATGCTCCGTTCGTTACCAAACAATGGATAGATATTTTGAAAATAACAAGAGAGGACGCAACCGGCAACACAGAGGACGCATTATTCGCACGAATTAGTCCACTCACTCGTCATTTTCTTCCTTTTCATTTTCCCATCCATTTTTCCTTCTTTTTTTTCGATAAACGTTCGCCGTATTTTTTTTTCATTTTCATCGATGCGTCACTACCAATTTCATCGGTTCTGTAATCAGTGTAATCATAGCTAAATAAATTGTACGCGTTTTCACGCGTCCTCGAGCAACGGGCCACGCCGACTAAACGGCCGCCTCGATCGGTTGATTGAATCGAAATAAATTGCACGCCAAATTCGACGAGCTATATATTTTCGAATCGACGAAATGTATCCCCCCCCCGTTTTCGAATCCCGAACGTACTTGGTTTAATCTCGATTAAAGGACGCTGTGCTAATTCCGAAACTTTTCATACAATTCTATAGCATGTTTCGCTCGGAATCTAAATTCAATAATCTGATTTTGCCGAAATTGCATCCAATTTGCATAGAAAATTCCGACTGGCTCGCAGCTGACCGCGCACCTGGCGCTACAGAGTAAACTTTTCGGAACAATACGAACAAGGGAAACAGAGAGATACAAACCGAGGAAGAAGAAGCCGAGGAAGAAGAAGGATAGGCAGAAAAGAGATAAATAGAACACGCGCGCGGCCGCGAAAGAGGGAGGAGAGACCAATATAGCGAACGGCAACTCGACGCGATCTCTCGTGTAAAAATGACATCTGATTATCAGCGTCACGTAGCCTGTGCCGCTTTTAATTAATGAGTGTCGCGGTCACGTGAGCTCCAGCACCAACGTTCCAATTATCTGGTTCGATTCAGTGTAGAACGTCAAGGAAAAAAGAGATGTTCAATATTGCGGGGTATTCCGCTCGATCGACAGATTTCCTCAATTAGTATGAAAGCGATCGTACATGGATCGTCATCGATAACTTTCACGTTCTTCGCGGCGATAACTTGGATCGTGTCGTTTTATTTCTGTTAAATCGTCCGCGAAACGCACGGTGAACGGTGCACACGATTTAACGAAAGAATTCCTCGTAATTTTGCAGGAAGAACCGAGAGTTGTTTGGTGAGTTAACGAACGAGTCGTTTAAAATTCTGTGAAATTTCTGCTTTTTGTGCTCGCCCGGTTGAAGTTTCGAAGAGTGAAAATTTTCCGTCTCTTTGACTCGCGCGGACGACGACGATCGTGGGGATGCGTGAAAGTCACCGGAGAGTAATTGTTACCCTGTCGCGAATCCTTCGGGGAGAATTTCGTGCGATTCGATTAAACGATAGCATTCGAGAAATCTCATCGCGGGGATAACCGATTGGCCGATACTGCGCTTAATACGGCGAGCCAGTAAAACAATTTAACGGTATGTCGTGGAAACGGGCAAGCTTGCCGAGTTTCAGCCGGCGCTTCGAACGAGAGGAAAAGTCGAGACGGAGGAAGCACGCTAACGAACTATATTGTGAACAAAATAAATCGAAATAAAACGTTCAGTCGGTCGTGCAACACGCTACATACATACATATAATACATACCTAGCTATGCCCGTCTTTCGAAGCTTGGAAATTGCTTTATTTTTATTTACCGATTTCGGTCCGCTCGATCAGAGCTTATACCGAGTAAAAACGAAAATCATGCTTCTGTCGCGAGATAGAAATGTCCCCGTTTTCTCGATCTGCAAGATTGTCGCTGCTCGATCGCGATAAAACCGTTCGATCGAACGGGTCGCATCAATTACTCTTATTTGCACGATACGACCTTTTGTATTTTCGTTTTTTCCGGGTTCGACGAACTCATTTTGGTTTCCTTTCGATCGGCAGCCCGATTTTAAAGGGGTCAGTACCTCTGCGCTCCCAGATGTAATCACTTCGACACAAATACCGGGTCGTCCCCTTTGTAATTCCCATTATCTTGCCTAGTAATTACTTTTACGGCCACACTCTTTGACCGTCACTAAACAGTTTTCAGCTGGTTGCTAGAACTTTGATGCGTAATAAAGAAAGTAAAAAGTAAACTTACAGGAGAAGAAACTTCTAACGTCGTTACGGTTCGTGGATTTACCAATTTTTATTTATAATTAAAGTACGATGAAATGCCACAGCGTATAAAGACACGATACGAAGCTCCGAATCGTTTGATTAAAAATTAGTCCCGACAAAGTTTTCCACGATCCGTCGGCAACTTTGCAAGTGTTTGTAAGTAATTACATACTCGAAACTTTGTAGGTATTTCAGAAACATGGAGGGAAAGGAAGCGAGCACGTCATCGTTCCAATTGAAGGGCGTAAAGGTTGACACAGCTTCATCATCGAGTTCTTCGAATAGTTTCACCAATTTGGAAACCCCTAGCGAGAGGCGAAGCATTTACGGCACATGCGTTACAGCGGTAGACCTTATTAACCATGTACTCATCGTGGGTGTGACAGTTTGTCTTCTTTACTATTCGATACAGTCTAGCACCGTAATGCTTCTGCACGTCGCTCTTTGCACTCTTGGGGTACGTATATCGATTATACTCTCCGGCGAACTATTAGGTCACGCATTATTTCTAACTAAGTTAGAAATTTCCCGAGTTTATTTACATCATTCGATAGACCGAGATTTTGCAAACTGTTGCGTGAAATTGATTCGTGTTTACGTCCACAGTTATTGACTTTGAATTCAAAATAAATTGACACCGGCGATCAGCTTTTTATATCCCGATAAAATTCCGCGAATGCTCGTACCTCAACGCGAAAATTGTTACATGTGACAAAATTTCAAATAAAACTATCAAAAACTGTTATTCACACGAATTCGGTTGTTCCAGCGTTCGAACGGTATTCTTAACAATAAACAAGTGGTCGGATAAGATTTTTATCGGTTCGGACAAGTTTGATGAACGATCGATCCGCTATCGTTCGAAATATATGTCACGATAATTTGAAACGTTATTCGAGCTCGTCGAAGGACATTCCTTCGCGTCGTGGAAGGTACTATAAATCGGCTTTGTATAAGCTAGAATTCGAGGCGAGCAATTTTAATCGGCGGAAAGAACGCTCAAAAGGAAAATCGTTGCACAAGAAGATCCCGTAACCTTGCCCAGAAGTCCCGTTTGCAAGTTCGAGGGTCGATCTAGCTGCGATTCAAATTGCACCATTTATTTCTCCGGTTACACACCTCCCAGTCGGAACTCGAAATCGAAATTCAAGAATGACCGTGCGCCAGCTAGTCAGCCCCGAGCCAGACGTTCTTTCTTTTCCCCAAACGTACAGAAAGGGTGTAACCGAGGTGGCCAAAGAAGTTCTAACGACTTGGCCAAACGACTGCAACTTCCTCGACCTCTGACGACTCGATCTTATCCTTTTCAGTACGTCCTACTGATGTCAGAGGCCATTGTCGTGCTAGCCGATGAAAGCAGCTTGACGAACTTTCTTACGCGTCGTGCCAAGAGCCACGTTCACTGGGTCCTGCAGCTACTCGGAGCGATCTGCATCGTAGCCGGTACCGTGGTGATGTATCGGGAGAAGACATTTCATTTCAAGTCGATCCACGCGATCCTCGGCATCGCGTCGATAGCTGTTATGCTCTTTCTGGTAGCCTTTGGATACCCTGTCCTCGTCGCCGCGAAACTTCGCACGGTAATCAGACCCGTGGTCGTCAAGTTTTGCCACAACTTCTTGGGCATCAGCTGTTTTGTCTTGGGCATGGCTTCGCAGTGTTACGGCTACAAAAAGGGCTGGTTGCCCAAAACATCTAACGTACCTAATATCCAGCTAATTTGCATCATCGTTACCGCGTTAATCACGATACTTTCGTTGAGAGGAGCTCTGCCGTCGCTCTTCAAACAATTCATGACGATGTTTCGATAAATCGAGCATCGAAGATCGTGGAGACAGAAACGGGTAATAGAGGCATTTCGGACCAACACCGGATAGTTGGCATTTTTAATCGAATAGATTCTTAAACAAGGATATCAGCTTAAATGTCAATGGTGAACAATCGTCAAAGAGCAAATTCGCACAGGAAATTTTAATTACAACAGTAATTACGCGAGGTAGCGAGTGGGAAGCTTAAATTGAAAAATGAAACGATCGTGTTCTGAATAATTTCTGGATAATCGTGTTCGGAATATTATAGCGCGATAAAACGCGTGTTAATACGTTAATTACGGCAGTGAAAGTGGTCGTGCATAGTGCGGCACATTGTTATAATCATTTAGTTGCTCAATTTAACTCTAAAATTCGTTATTCCAGATTATCAGCGCTTCAACGTTAAATTTACGTTGTTGGTAACTACTTAAAAGCGTTCGGCAATTAACTCGTTGGACATTAGCAAAAGTATCGAGAAGCGGTAGACCGTGTTTGCCCCAAAAAACGTTCCCGTTTCTGCGATAGGTGTAGCGAGAAAACTCGTAGCTAAAGATAAGACTGTTCGAACGGAATCTTATTCCATTCGTAATTATAGGTTGTTTGAACATCTGGCATCGGCGATGCTGTCAGTAAAGCAGTTGTCGCGAGTATTGATATGGAAAGCAAATTCAGCACGCGACCTAGAGATTTACGCGGGGAATCCTGAAATATCGTGTGGGGAAAATACTCGTTGTATCAGAGAACGATGGGATCACGGTGCGTCATCATAGTTCAATTATATGTACAGAGATTAGGCTTGGACATAGCGAATATTTATCGTCGACGTTTAGTGGGCGTTCGAGCGGCGATTCAAAAGCGGTCGCGTAGAGAGATTCTTGTGTCACGACCGTGAGTGAATAGCGCAAATAGACACTCTTGTCGTTGCTGTTATCGCGTAGCAGACGTTTCGCGCTAATTATATCTATTATACTGACAACGAATCGATCGACGCGTTGATTTCCCTTGTAAGAAACAAAATTCGAACAAGCGTTCAATTTTCAACCGATTATGCGATACGGGATCGATGCTCCCGATATTGTTCATTACACTAATCTCGTTAATACGAAATTTGATAAAAGATGTACGGTATAATCTGGATAAAAAAGTATTTTTATATCGATATTAATGGGATTTAGAATTTTCGTTATTTACTGACAAGTAGAGTAAAGTCTTAAGACGCTGCCACAGTGAAAAGGGAAGTGAATAGCAAGACACGTTAAAATTATCTGACTGAAAGTCAACTACGCTAAAGGTTCAGCCTGACAAGAGCGTTTACTCGTCTTAACAAAATGTCATTTGCGACTATTAAGAAGATCGCGAGAAACGTCGATATTCATTTATTTGCAAATAACGCTTGATCTTCGAGTTGAAAGACACAGGCGAAGTTTACCGTAGCAGCGCGTTGCGTATCAGCAAACACGCGAATGCATATTCGGCCTTAAGTAAGCACGCAAATGACGTTTTCCAAAGTCAAACGTGAACGCATTTAATTAGGAAATTCACGACCCTGTTCGTTATTCTAGGAAATCAGCTTATTTTCGCTGGTGACAGAAGGGAAATTCATGACTCGGGGTAAATTAATTTAATGCGAGCACTCGAATAGCGGCTGTATTAAGCTCTCGCACCGATATCGGCGAACCGAATCATTTTTCGAGATATATACTTTGAAAAATCGATAAATGGTCCCGCGAGGATCGACAAAAATTTGATTTACCCACGTTCGAAGCGAGCGTTGTTATTTCGGAGCGAATTTCGCAAAATATTTGTATCCCCCGTATAATCAACGAGCGGTCAAATATTTGAGCGTTTTTTGTACGATGGCAATTGTTTCATTTCATGCGCTCTCTAAGAAGCACTCTGTGCCGATGCGTCATCGGGTATTTCTGCCAGTAATCTGTTTGAAGAATTAAAATAAATTATTCGACGATTATATCGAGCTCGGGAACTGCATATCAACGTATTTCCGAAACGACTGATGTTGTACGAGCAAATAAAATTACTGATCCATAAGGTTATCGTTTGTAACAGCGTTCGCTTTCGGTAATACTTTATTTAATTAAATTGTAAACCCGTATCATTGTTCCCATAATGCGTACGATTAATTTAATGAGCACTTTTTGCGAGCAACGAGCGAAATAATAATACACGCGCACGTATACGTAGACACGCGCTGTCGCAGGTTTGAAAAATGTAAAAATTTAATTAAAGTCAAACACATCGGGCGTTTGTGAACCGCGAAAACTGAATAAAGCTTACGGACCCGTGGGCGTAAGTTATTATATAAATATTAAGGCGACTTCCAACGAACTGGAAGGTATGTATACGCATGTAGTTTTAAGCTCCGTTAACGGGGTAGTTCACGTATTGTATGAATTATTCAGGATCCCTCGACGAACTTATAATGCATTAAATATTCACGACGCGTGCGTTAAATTCGTGCAGACGTTTGAATTTTTCATATTAACCCGCCATCCTTTGTCCCCGACACCGACTCGTTTTGCCCACAATTTCTTTCGAAGATTGTCAAAGTTGAACAATTAAATGGAATTTCGGTAGGGGAGAAAAGGAAAAGCGGAGTAGAAGGAAAGTAAAACGGTAACCGGATTCGGAGGATCGATGAAACGAGCGCGGTAAGAGTTCGCCAACAACGATGTAAAAAAGTTTCGGCGAAGTTATTCGAAGCGGTAACCGGTCGGAACGGACCGAGCAAATTAATCACGAATTAACGGCGGTAAAACAGTGTCCCGCGGTGACCACGTATTATACAAAGCGATGTCAATTCGAGGATGGCAGAAAACAAAACGGCAGGGGAACATAAAAAGCGTGTCGAAGGCAATTTAACGTGCTTTTACTCGTGAATTTGAACGGTCGACCATACAGTAGTTACCATTACTACCGACGTTCGCGGCCATTATTGCCATACGCATGGGTTCCCCCACCTTAATCTACGGTTTTCCAAAAATATTCGCCCGCCTTTGTCCCCGGTTATTTCTTCTTTTTTTGTCGCTACCGATGGCTCCATCGAGTGGACGATTTATGCTGATGCATTTGCGACCATTTTCCAGCGATCAGAGTGTATTGTTTAGCCGCATCGATGGACCGCAGTTTTAACGCTCGCCGATAGAATCGACGAAATCGTCTTCGGTCAGCTCAACCTGTATCCAGTTAAAAAAGGAGCAGAGAAAATACGAGGTATAATCTTCCGAAAGTGTAACTTTACGCTTGCAGTAAAAAAACTGCGAACCATTTCGTTCATTTTTAACCCCAACGTTCCCCAATTCGTCTGGCTTTAACCACGAGCGAACGCGCGTGTCTGCATAGGCTGCTGGTCAACTGGAATCGAACGGAACTTTTATCATCCATATCCGACAACGAAGCGACGCGATACAGCGCGCGAAACAAAGTTATCTTGCACGTACGACACGACGGAAGTTTGCCACTGCGAAATTCCGTGGTTCCGCTCGATCGAACGTAACTGCGTGATGTCGTTGTTCGCGAACACTCCCACCACCGTCGACACCACCGTGGCACGGTATAATAACGATTCCGAAATTTCTGTACACGCGAACGAGGAATGTACATTGTTAATCCTAGAACGGGCAAAACGAGAATTAACGGCAGGAAATTTCTCATCGGTTTTGGCTAGACGTTCCTCTCCAATAAGTGTGGTTTTGGATACAGATAGTCTATGGGGGTCAGGCTGTATTTCAGGAGATTCGTTTTAACCAACGTGCGTGGAGGATCGTGTAATCCTCCATGAAATATCTCGATGGCTGACGAGTTGATCGATTAATCGAGAAGGATTTCGGTACAAAAGAAAGCGGACAAGAAAGCCTCGATACGTGACGTTGTAACGATGACGGGATCGTTGTTAATTAAGCGAACAATGGCTACAATGCGGCCGGGTAATAACGAAACAACGAGCTCTTTTTAACTATTACGCTTGACAATGTGTTCATTAGCCTCTTAATTAACATACGTTATGAGGCGCGTAATAAACGCGCTTTTGTTCTGTCGCGAACAGAATACAATATTGCCAACGGAGTCGATTCATTTTTTCCTCGTAAATCGCCCGCTATCCGCTTTTGTATCCCTCACCCTCTTACTCGGAGCGCCGATCAGCCTCGAGTATACATACATATGCATGGGTAGATCGAATCTCGTCATGGTTATCGTTCATCCGGACCCATACTATCGGCCGGAATCAATTAATGTAAATCAAAAGCCACGAACGAAAGCGCATCACCGCGCGGCCGAAAAGGGAATCCGTAAGAAACGTTGCGCAACCGATGCCTGTCTATTTTGGGAACCGTAGTACTTCAAAAACTATGTAGATCACTTTGTTTGGACAAGAACAGGCCTTGAACTTGGAGTTGCATATTTTCTATTTCGAATTTTATATATATGGGGAGTTGCCATATACACTCTTTTATCAAAATGTCATCGTGAGTATTTAAAAGCGTGAATCGTATCAGCAGAACTAAATATTTGAACGAATCGAAATTTGTAACTTCACCTTTGTCATGAATTTCGCATGGAACAAATCGATGTGACGAGACGCGTACACTATCGTTCAAGAGTAAGAACATGTAGCAAGTTTGAAGCTTGAATGCATAAATGTCTCTAAACAGAGTAAATTATCGGGTTGAAAATCAGATTATTCTCTCGACGCTATGTTTACATTGTCCGTTTCCTACCTGCCCGTTTCACTCAATGAACCCGTTTCAGCTCTCCCCGTTCCGCCCCTTGTTCGTTTCACCTAAATTCCTTGACCAACTCGGCTCATCCTCCGCTCTTGCCGATTAATACACCTTAATCTACCGTTGTGACGACAATTTAATTAATTCGCGACAATACCGATTATACGGGTTAGCGAATATTTTGTATGACATTTAATCCGTGTTTTCCGAGTAATAAGCATCGTTCGCGCTATATCGATTTAATAGTCAAATAAATTATTCGATCCGGTTAAATAATTAATCCCTGGCGGGTGGTGACCCGGTCAATCGTGATCCGTAGCTACGTATACGAGTCGCCTCGACTGAATTTAGACAGTCGAATTTCCGAACGAAAAATGTTCGCGTATCGGAGAAAGTAATTTAAAATTAATCAGCTTAGCGAAAAGCCCGGGTCGTTATTCGGGGAATTAAAGAACGGACGATTGAATAATGGCGATTCGAGATTATTAAAGAAGCCAATTAATGCAAAAACTTCCATTTGCGGTAAAAACGAAACATTATGGAGTATAAACTGGTGACCGTATATTCATGAACGGTAGCATACGTACGCAAGATTACACGCTCGCACGGGTCGATTGTATACGCGGTTGAATTATGTCCGTGAGAGCACAAGTTACCGGACATTGGACGGGACGATAGCGGTGTACCAGGTGAAACGGTTATGTTTCATTTCGCCCGGGTTAATAGAAGTAACGTCAATCGTTG